TTGATGATACGGTCTGTACGGTGATGCCATGGAGCCAGTGACGTGCAGGGTGCGAGTTGTCTGCAGTTGGTCCCTTTATTTCTACAAAATACTGCGACCTGATCTGTACTTTAAATATTTCGGCATTTAGTCCTTTTAATCTAATCAAGCCCAACTTCTCTTTCTTCACTTCACTTCTCTCGCCAGTCGTGTCCGTCATCCATAGTCATTTTCCTGGTTTTCTCGCTATACTTTATCTGCAATGCACCCTTCGACACAACATTAGCAATTCGCCATTGCGTTGCTCTATCTCAAATTACATGACAACGCCAAATTTTACTCAATGCAATCCTAAAACATAGACTCGTGCCTGACCGCGAGAGAAGTTTCAATGGCAGATTTTAACCCCACCTCTCGTGAAATCTCGCTCCAATCCAGGTCTCGTTTGACGTCATCTGCTGCGCAGATGTTCAAAATAGGCTATCCCGGACATCCCCTATTAAGTATGCGTTGTTTACTGAAGGGTTTTATGTTTCATAACAGAAAGAAAGAATGACAAAAGAATCACAGGTATTCCATTTACATACCAATAACTGAAACTTTGCATTCTTCATCCGAGGATGACCAGTCTTGAGAAGATGAAGAGGAAGAATCCAAATCTATAACTCTGTCTATAGACTGATTGGTTAATCTGTCTCCAGCTATTCTGCCGAGGGTTTTCCTTCCCCTTTGTTGGTCTATTGATCCTTTATCTACTGGCATTTGTCTAAGCTTGGTTTCAATTTTCTTTGTTATCTCTGTTGTTAATGATTGTTGCTCTGACTCACCAAACACTTTTCTGTGAACCACTGAACCTGCTGATCTCAATTTGACTGAAGCTAGATTTTTCTTTACAATTTCTGCTACTTCTGCCTCTGGTGATGATTTCTGTGGGGGTGGGTCAATACTAACAGCTTCACTGGATTTTTCCTTTGGACTCTCTTTACTCATTTTCCTCTTGGCATTATCAGCTGGTACCTTCATTTTCCTCCACATCACTTTGGGTTGTGTCTCTGTACTATGTGATGGTGAAGGTACTGCTCTTCCAGGTGGTGGGGCTGCGGGTGCTACCCTTGCTCTAGGTAATGGTGGTGGGGATGGTGGTGGTACTGCTGCTCCAGGTGGCGGTGGCAGTGGTGGTGGTGGTACCCCTGCTTTAGGTAATGAAGGCGGGGATTTAACTCCCATTGATAGATATCCGTCTGCTGATCGTAATCGTTGCGTTGCTGTACGTGGAGGTGGTGGTGGTGGTGGTGGTGGTCCAGGTGGTGCACCTCCTCCAGTTAATGGAGGTGGGTGTGGTGCTTCAGTTGACAACTGTAACTTTGCAGGTTGTAAGATTGGTTTAACCCCTTTCAATAGCTCTGTCCTTGGTGGTTCTTCAGCTTGTGCCTTCAGTGAAACTTTCTCTATTGACTGACTAGCAGCGTGAAACAAGGGAGCTCCTACTCCTCCAAAACTATACCCGCCTCTGCCTCTCTCACTGGCTGTCTTCTTTGATTTAAACAAAACTCCAGGTTCACCAGAATCAACAGACAAACTTCCAAATGTTCTTGGAGATGCTGGCTTGGCAACAGATGATATGCTTTCTGACTGAGATGGCTCTGGATGACCACCTTTCTGTGATCCCCCAGCAGCTGACATTGGGGCAGACAATGCAAAACTTACAGCAGGTGTCTGAGATATTTGAGTCTGGATTGATGCTGAAGCTTGTGCTCCAAATCCAAATGAGTTGCTGGCCACTGAAACTGGGGCTCCAAAGCCAGTGGACCGAGTTGATGAGAATGATGGTATTGAGAATGCTTGAGGCTGGGCTGAATCAGTATATCTTGCTCCAAAAAGAGGGACTTGAGCCCTTCTGAGAGGCGGTGCCCTGGAGCCAAACATAGGTGTCTGGTCATTACTAGGAGGTTGACCATCAAATACAGGGGCCTGGCCTCTCACTGGAAATACCCCAAATGAAAGGGTCTGGTCTGCATTAGAAATAGGTGCTGGTGCTCCAAAGCCAACAGATGACATTGGAGCTGCTGCACCAAAAGTAAACGGTTGATTTGACATTGGCGCTTTAAAAGCAGATAGCTGGTCTTGTGCAGAAACTTGTGCTCCAAATGTGAAACCCTGCAGCTGTGCCTGCTTTGGGTAAGACTGTTTTTCTCTAGGAGAAAACCCCAGTGACTGAGGTGCTGAGACCTGTAACTGAAATGAACCTGTGAGTGGCTCAGGAGCAGCAGTTAACTGCTGAGCTTGTTGCACTTCAGGTTCATCAGAACTCAAAAAAGAAACTCTTGATTTAGGAAAGAAACCCTTGGGTTTGTCTGCATTCAAAGCAAAAGATGCAGACATAGACTGAAGTTCTTCAGAACGCTCCATGAGATTTGACAGTTTTCCACCTTTCTGTTCACTAACTTCCATCTTAATTTCTTTACTAATGTCTATCCCAGTTTTTTTCTTCTTTTTTCTTACTTTTTCTCCTTCTTCCTCTTCCATTCTAGCTCCCATTTTGACAGAATCTGTGTCAAAGTCAAATAACTGCATGTCTAGGTCTGAAAAATATAATAAATAGGAAATAAATTAAAATTGTATCATAATAGCCCCTTCCAACATGACCATATCTTAAATTTTAATAAATTGCAATGTATAAATAGTCATCATGTTCTATAGATTCACAACTGATTTTCATGTAACAATTTACGTATCAAAATTTAATGCAAAATATGTATCTTTACACGTACGACTTTCTTCAGATTAGGCTATCAAAAAAGTGATAAAGTTTATTTCAGTGCAAGTTCAGACATTACATTTAAATCTTAATCAGAAGATAAAAATAAGAAACTTAAATTTTCATTTTTACAATAAAAGAAGTAATTTGATAAGATGTTTTTTAATCTCTCTTACCTTCCATGTCTGAACTGCTTTCTAAATGCTCAGCAACAGGTTGATAGAAAGAGGGACTGGTTGGGGAGTAAGCAGGACTGACTTCATGTTGGGAGAAGTCCTCAGAGCCCTCTCTAGAATTATCCCCTAAAAAACCTGAAGAACCATATAACCTTTTTTTACGTCTACATTATATATCTACAAGACTATTTAACAAGAAAAATACCGTCTAGAACACACTTCATTGAAAACATGCTACAATCTCACTATAGTGAGAACTCTGGAGAGGTAGAGGCATACAATGTATGTTACACCTTTTTTTAAATTAAATTTTCACACAAAGATTAAATAATATGTTAGCCTTAAATATAGTATATAACAAAGTTGCACATGGTTCCTTTTTTCTTTAAACTCAATTGGACTAGCTTAAATATTCACCATAATCTGCTCCATCATCACACAAAAATAGATCTTCACCATATTCCTCTTCATCTGAAGATTCTCCCTCCCCTTCTGCTAGAGTCGATCTTTTTGAAAAAAAAAACAAAACAACATATATCATAATACTTTACTAACGTTTGATATATCAAGCCATTTTTGTTTTGTTCAAATCAGATTCTGTGGTGACTTGTATTCTAAGTCCCACTATCAAATAGCTGTTACATATTTCTCTCACTTTTCCATCATCTTTACTGACAATTTAGATGCAATGTTTTCATTGTTTGGTGTTAATTGGTGGGAATCTGAAATAAAAACAAGGAACAAACACATTTTAGATGTCTTTAACAATACTCTAATACTTGTCATCTATTGCTTTATTAATTTCTTAACTCAAACGTATAAAATTTTCAATATCAAAATAGCAGGACTGTTTTTTACATAATTTTCATGAAGTGAACTGTTGCATGCATTTATTGCAATCATATGTAATCTTTGATCAGGCCTCAAATAATTCACTGCACAAAACATAAATGTCACTTCTTTGAAAAATGAAGATTCAGGACAACAAAAACATCCAACACTTTTTTCAAGGTGGTGGCCACTATTTAAGCAATTGTACAGACCACATTTTATAAGCAAAAGAAATAAACAGAATTAGTACATACACAGCACATATCATCCCACTCAGCAGAATATCAGGCCTGGGGCAATTTCTTTCGCAAATTTGCAAGAAGGAATTTTATGTTCTTGCAATAAAACATTTTATCACACCTCTAAGGCAAGGCTTTGTTTTCAAATCAGGGCTAGATAACAAATTACACTGGAAACAAACTGCCTTATCTCTCCAGACAAGACAATAGACTAAAAACATGTCAAAGAACTTTACAGGTCAGATGAAATATTAACCGTTTTTCCTCCTGCTTGTTAAGAATCTCTTCCTTCTCCTTCCATCCAATATATGGCAGAATATCTACATCTTCTTCTGCCAAGATAGCCTCAATCCTCGGACCTTCACTGCTCATATCTTCATCCTGTTATATGCATTATGATCATTACTCTCATGTAAAATACTGGACGAAATAAATTTTTAGGTATGGTTATATTGAGTTAGAAAACAGCTGTCAACACCTACAATATATGTATTTATAAAAACCAATTACAACAAATCTTTATTAAGATTCAGTTATCTTTTGGGCAGAATTCCTTAAACTGAATTCCAGACAGAATTCTAAAGAATACAATGCTATATATATTCACAGTTAATTAAATTATTTCTGGTTTTTAAATGCAACTATAATAAAATAATGACAGTAAAAGCAAGGAACTAAGGCAATTTTGATATTTCGTAGCAAATATAGAGTATTTGAATTTTTACACCTTGGTTTTTGTTACCTTTTCTCTCTTTTCAATGGCAATGAAACTGGTAAACTGTGTTACAATGGAATACTTTGTGCTGAGCTGAATTATAAGATTCTTTCGATTCATTTTCAGGACCTGTAAATCAGAAGTTATCAAAAGCAATTAATTTTTTTTTTAATGAAATCTAACATTAAGAAAGAATTACAAATAATTTTAATTGATCAGTCAGTTGTTTTTTTTCTAATAATTCAATGGTATAATTGCACATTATTATTGAAGAAGTGAAAAAAAATCTAAACAATAAATCTTCATTGCTATATAAGGTATTTATACAAATCTTATCAAATTCATCTTTCTACCATGAAATAAAAAACACTGTCAATCAGTGACTGCTGCTAATTTGTAAAATAATTTCTGAATGGAATATTATTGGCAAATTTCATTGGTCAATTTTATTTCAGTTGACTAACTATGCGCAGGTTGTCTATAATATTGAGCTGTTAGTAAAATCTTATACCTCATGCTGTGTCCTGTCATCATCCAGGCTTCCCTCTTCCCAGTCTCTAAGGATTGCCTTAGCTGTAAGACGGTGTAATATCTAGGAAAATGTTCAAGAGATGATTAAATAAGCTAAGAATATTTAAAAGAATTAATTAATAAATAAGATGGGATGCATCTAAACTTGACAGCACAGCTGATATACAGTAGACATTAAATAACAGAAAGAAAAAAAGAAAGCATTCAGCAATTTTCACTTTGACCATTTTTTTTTTTACCAAAATAAAAATAAAATGATGATTAATTGTTTCCAAATTCTTCTTGTAATTGTCACTATATTATTACATGAAATAAAGTTAATTCTTTATTAATAACATATATGTCCCAGGAAATAATGTATCAGAATACTGCAAGTTTGATTCAACTGTTACCTTTCCTTTTGTGATGCTTAAGTCAGATGTGGAAACAACTGTAGAGACTTCAAATCCGGCGATCATTGCCTTAAGAGTGGCCTAGTCATATCAAAAAGAGAACCAGGTAACAGTATTTAAACTATAATTTGTCAAATACTTCACACAAATATACACAGTACATTACATACATAAACAGGAATAACAAAAGGTCAATAAGCCAATGCCATATCAAAAGGTCAATATGCTATCTGTCACTTTTAGTGAAATCATTAAAATAAACAGTTAGGCACAAATTGCATTTAAGTTTATGGAACAATCATGCACATCCTTTAAGAATGACACAGAACAAGTCTGAAAAATTCTAATTTATTTTGGGAAAAAACTGTTTGGCTGTATAATGCAAAATACTTACTTGCATACAGTTGGGCACAAACCCATACACCACCTGTCTAGAACCATTGAAAAGTGAGGTGATCTGGGTGGGTGCCTGTACAGGAGGTGGCAGATCATCATCATACTGTTGCCAAGCAACAGACACAGATGTCAAGCCTGGCTGAGAGACCTTGTCTAGCTGACACTTCACCTGGTATTTTTAAAATATACAAAGAATAATATTCCAAACTTAAATAATTAGTAAATGACAAATTGATAACCTTTTTTTCATTTTATAGAAGTAATATTTCTATTCACTGTACTTATGAATTACTTGAACTTACTTTTTTCTCCCATTTGGATTTAGTTTTATTGTCAAAGTACTCATATGCCCCTGCTCCAACTCTGGCTAAAGACCGTAGCAAGTACTTATTGGCTGTTGCACTGAAATTATAATATTTTGTTTCATCTGTTTTGCCTTTTTGAAATAGTCCCTTATTTACATTTTAAATGTGCACCTTCAAATACATAAACAATTCTGACGATCTTTAAAGAAGGACAAAAAGAATGACAGACTGATAATTACAGAATAAGAATGAATAATTGTGCAAGTTATCTTTACCTAACTCCCAGAGTAAACAGCCTAGTGTGCTCATAGTTCTTTCTCAAAGCTGTGAAGACAGCTTCCTCGTTGTTGACATGTCCATCAGAGATGAGGAATATGTTGCGCAACCCTTGACTTGGTTTGAGCAGGAAATTTACTTGCAGTGGTTGAATAACTTCTGTGTTCCCACCAGAAGGTTGTAATGCCTGAAATAAATGAGCACCATTAAAAAATGCAAGATGGCCTTAAAAAAATTTAATTTAAACTGCACTATAATAAATATTTTACTACTGCAAATGATACAGCAAAGCCATATGTCTACTTCCATTAAGCCATCAAAGACAATGCAAACAATTCTCCAATTAGCAAACTTTTGGCATTGTAAAAATCTGTGTAGGTAGGAAATGTTATGTAGTTACAGCGTTATAAACATAGTGTGCTTAACACATTATGTATGTAACCATGCTCTTTGAAATTAAACTGTTTTCTTTGAAATTGAAATATATAAATACTAACAGTTTTATTAAAAAAACTAAATTACCTGAATAAATTCTTGTGCTTGTTTCACTGTTAACTTCGTCTTCCCCATAGAACATGGAAACAACTCTTCAAAACCTTGCATAGGAAAAATGTGCACACTTCATCATTCACCACTCTTTTGTGAATAGCGAAGGACAATAAGAATTGTAATAATGTGATAATAAATGAATAAGACATTTTGTTGTAGGAAAGTCTTGCACTTACCAGTTCCAAAAGACACAACATTAAACACACAACCATTTGACAGATGATGCAGTGTAAGCAAAGCCACTTTCTTGGCATCCTGCAATGCTTTCTCCTTCATAGAATTGGAAACATCAATCAGTAAGATAACCTCACAGGCCAGGTCTGACTCTGCTTCAAACTCTGGGTAGAAGGTCAACATGCAAGCCTGCAAAGATAGATACAGGTAAATAGGTAAACTGTTGTGTAATAAGTGCTTCTACTGTTTGATATTAATTTTTTGGTCTTCTGAGGTTTAAGTAACCATAAAAACTTCCCTTCTGAATGAAAAAAAAATCACTTTAAACCATTGAAATTTAACTTTCCAAAAGCTTATTATTCAGAATCGTAAATTGACTGAATTTCTGTCAGAGCAATCACAAAAAGAATTTTTGCACTTACTGGTGATCCAGGGTTATCTACATCTTCCTCCACCCACATCCTGGGCACATGGATCTCGGCCAGTCCTATCAATAACTGGAACCCATCTCCCAAAGCTTGTCCTGCTGTCATCTCCACCACAGCCATGGAGGCAGTTCTCTATAGCAGCCATGGTTAATTGATAGTAACACAGTTTACTAATCCCATTCCAGTACAACAAGATCAATGAACTGCAGCAAAAGATAATTTCTAACAATGCTCGCACTACTATAACCAAACTATGTGTTTCAGTAATTGCATTACCCACGACAGATTCTCTTACAAGTCTAAAGGCAAATGAAAGAAATGACTGAATATCTTTTAAAAATAACAATTACTAAATCACCACCTAATACCTCTTACCTTGACTTTGAC